TCTATTTTCGTTAGAGCATTTGCCGTTAGCTGTTAGAAAATAAAGTAACCTTATAATGAAAAACAAAGCTTACATTAAGGATATATTAACAATACCCTAAGCCCCAGAAAAAATTTTATTCCTTCCTTTTAAGAGACGGGACTTCCATACTAGCCAAAAACATCAGTTTACGCGGCACTCCAATACCAACCATACCACAAAAATATGTGCCCTAAGCTATCCGATGAATTATTTATTTTCGAGTCGTACCAACGTTATGCTCATTAAAAAAAAATTTGACATATTTTACATAGTCAATCTAAACCATAGACTTATTGACTTTTCGTTTTATTTGATTATTTTGGATTGACTTGAAAGAAAGCTATGAATTGAATAGACTTAAATATGTAGACGTATTATTTTTGAAAAAACGATGTTGGTTATAGTGTGAGATAGTTTGGTAAAACCTGAATTTAAAACGTACGTCACTGTAACTAAGATACAAAAGTGGAAAACATACGCTAGGCAGCTTTTAATTCTGCTCTTGTTTTGCGCCAAATATGATGATTTCGATGTTCTAATTAAAACTAATTACTACGGAATATCATCTGTTATTCCTTTGGTCTGTTCTTATCGGTCCATTTACAAACCACAGTTAGCTTATAAATGGACCGATAAAGAAACTGTTTCACATTTAACCATAATCGAGCCATGCAGACCTTTTAATGGTTTCATCTTCAATTTAATGAATCTTATTTTTTTTCTGTGATAGACTTAGTCACGGTAAGATTAAAATTTAATTTATTCATTTTTAGAGTTCGGCTAAAGGGTAAAAAGGGACCCTATTACTAAGACTCCGCTGTCTGTCCGTCTGTCTGTCACCAGACTGTTTATCTCATGCACCGTGATAGTTACAGTTGAAATTTTCACAGATGATGTATTTCTGTTGCCGCTATAACAACAAATACTATATGTCCCATACAACGGACATGATTTTTTATGTCGTTATTATGGATAATAGTACAGAAACCTTCGTGCGCGAGTCTTACTCGCACTTGGCCGGTTTTGTACAATCAAGGTTAAAAGATAGATCACGAAATATTATTAGCAGAAAATGTGAATAGAACAAATAATCTAAACTCGAAACCATATACGATACGATATCCAGCTTAAAATTAAATCCTGCTCCATAGCAGATAATATCTAGTATGTTTCATGTATCTTTTCTTTCTATATGTGTTCAATGAAAGGAAAATTTAATCATTAATATCAGAGAAATGCAAGTGTCATCTGTGTATGAAATGCCATTTATCGGTGGACAATAACGATTGAAATGTCAACACATTTTTAGATCATTATCCGACAATCTCTGGGTTTTCAAAATTTTTGTTCAGTTTTAAAAGTCAGAATGCATTGATTTTAAATAATAATGATTGCTAACATAAGTACAAAACATGACGTAACAGACGTTAGAAGTTTAGAAGACTAGTACGTTTACCAATTCGATTACTACTAGAACTAAGTAAGCATAAAATTATTTGAAGCACACTTTATGTGAGATAAAACGAATGTCTATAAATCATCGGTAACCACAAATTTGAATGGGTGAGCCAGAACGTGGTCATTATTTTGTCTTTATGATATGTACATAATTATATTTCATATTGTTACAACCGACTAGATCTGTTTATCAAACTCGATATGATGAAATCAACAATTTAAATTGCACAAGATAGATTCGTAGTTTTGTTTAAAATTATATGTATGAATATATATATTTTTATTATTTCCTCTAACTTTTATATTAAACTGTTTACTTTCAGAAAATTAACAATTTTTCTACATGTTTTAAAGTTAACAATGATTTAAAACATAGTATATACAGCACTCACATTATTTCCCATACATTTATCGGTGGAAATTATCTGATCCTTAGATATTTCACATTTGATTATTTTATCAATAAAGTCTGTCTCCTTTTCAGTTTATTTTCTTCTTAAATATCATATTAATAAAGTCATATCTATAATATCACTATTTTCGACATAACTATGGAGAAAAAGTTATGTCAACTGACCTTCGAAAATATAGGTCAGAATGGCTTAATCAATGAAGAAGAGGACACGAGAAACAGAGCCGAAAATGGTACCCAAACAAAGCTTAATAAGACAAGGAAAGGTATTGTATATTTTCGCCATCTTGAGCGCATTTCTTTAGGTTTTTATTTTTACAAAAGTAAAACAAAGATCCTCTTTGATTTACTAATAATGTTTTTTTTTTTTCTTCTTTTTTAAGGTCAGGATAACCTCTTTCAGAGATATCGCGTCCAACGTCTTAAAGAAATTGTTCCTACAAAAAGACCAAAAAGAAGAAGAGGTTTGTACTGATTCTCGCCTCTTCCCCCGCCTGCAATTTTGTAAAAGATATAAGACGGTTGACTAAGGTCCATTTTTTCCGCAGTAAGATTAATGGATTGGAAAAAATATCACAGACTGAATGTCATTTATGCCTTCATGGATGACTTGGAAAGAGATTATCCTGCAATTTGTTCAGTTTTGGTCATCGGGAAATCTGTTGAAGGTAGAAGCATTAAGGTAACATTATGGGATTGGATTGGATATTGGGACGATTATGTTTTTCGTAATACATTACATCGTTAAGGTTGTTAACAAAGGGAAATTTTGCACGTTTTCAGATGTTAAAGATCTCTAATAGTGATGCTGGTAATACACCTGTTTGGTTGGATGCATCGATCCACTCAAGAGAATGGATAACTACGGCGGTTATTACCTACATAGCGGACGTCATTGCTAGAAATTTTCACACGCTTTCAAACCCAATCACCAATAAAGATTGGTCCGTTTTTTGTTTCATATTATTTCATAAAACAATTGGCTGATGTTTGACTAATTTCCAAACTGATGAACAGTAAATACCTGTACACTGTCGCCTTAATGATACTCACATTGTGATTGGTTCCGAAAACTAACGCTGACAAATTTTTGCAATTCTTTTCTGAGGGCATTCCGTAGAAGTCGACGTTCTTCGCTTACGACCATATAAACTTACGTTTACTTTCTTCTTTTGTTCTCAGTCTTTAGAATATTAAAGCTTCGTTGAACGCAGAACTCGTGGACTAGCCAGAACATACAAGCTTAATACGGTCCTCTGCGTTGAGTAGGGCCACGCATGACCATAGCGTTATCTTAAGCGATATGAATGTCATCCACTGCCTATCGAGGTTCGGTACGGACCGTAAACCCTATGTCCGTTAATCAATATAAGCAAACTAACAAAGATCTTTTTAACTGTGGTAAGTCACGCAACAGTGCTGGCTGTTGCACGAATGGGCAGGTTCGTCCGGGTAAGCACCGCGACTTCGCAGAAGACGGCGGCGGTTAAAAATCTGGTGAATCGCCAACTCGTTTGCCATCTTTTCACATTAAAAAAACTTGTGATGGAAACTTCCAATCGCTTGGTCTGGCACTTTTAAAAAGATTTAAAATTACAGGTACATCGTGCCTGTATTAAACCCAGATGGGTATGAATTTACGCACACCCAAAACCGCATGTGGAGGAAGAATCGTGCATCTTACGGTGGGAAATGTGTCGGTGTCGACCTCAATCGAAATTTCAGGTTTCTACCAGTTTTTGTAATTGCATTATTTGTTAATTATCCCGACTTATTTTAATTATTGCTTGTATTTCCGACTTTTTTTTCGGGTTAGGTTAAGTTAAATTTTGTCTTAGTATTATTTTAAATTGTATATATAATAGAATTTATAGTAGTAGGCATACCTAATCATTTACAGTTGTGGCTGGGGATGTAACGGTGACCAAGGGTCGTCAGACGAGCCGACCAGCGCTTTTTATAGAGGACCTTCCCCGTTTTCAGAACCTGAGGCAGTAGCTGTGAGGGTACGTAAGTTGGGAGCATAAATATTAAGAATACAACATTTCGATCATCATAGATCATTTTTACACAACGTTCTCTAATCCCAAAATAAACAACGCTTCTACGATGGGTAATAGATAAGTTATAAACGTACTTAAACATTGAAAAAACATACTTTTCTTTTGTAACTAAATACATAATATAAATATATAGTCACCCAGACACTGGACAAGAAACATGTTTATCACACAATATTTTTCCAGTAGTGTGGATCGAACCCACACCCTCTGGCGCAAGAGGCAGGTGCACTACCTACTACGCCAATCGGATCGTCAAAACTATTTATATATAAGTAAAGTAACAGCCTATACATGTCCCACTGCTGGGCAAAGGCCTCCTCTGTACAGAGGGTATCAGGGCATAATCCACCACTGCAGATTACCGCTAATCTGCAGTGGTGGAAGTCCGCACTTCACATATCTTCGAAAAATATATTTTCTTTGTTATTATTTCGAAAATATGCAGGTTTCCTCACAATGTTTTCCTTCACCGCGGAGCACGTGATAAGTCAGCACTTAAAGTTAAAAACTTCATCGGTGCCGGCACCGGGGATCGAACTCAGGTTGCTCGAGTATATTGAATTAAAGGCGAGCGCCCGGACACTGAGCTATCACGGCTCCACACATAAAAGTATTATCATTTAATCATAACACTTTCATTTACAGGACACTATAATGAGTTCAAGAACCCCCTTCAAAGTATTTATATCCTTTCATAGCTACTTCGAACTTATAATTTTCCCCTGGGGCCATAAGAAGGATGCATGCCCAGACTATCTTAATTTGTTAGAAGGTGGCGCGATTATGTCGAGAGTAAGATCATTGTGAATACTAAACAATTAAAAGTTAAGTGGAATACTTAGTTGAGAAATAATAAGTTGGCTACTTATGGATCCCTTAATACATTTGGATTGGTATATTTTGATTGATGATGGTAGATTTTTGTTGACGTTCAATAAGAGCTTAAGTTAGGCCTATATTGAATTTGGACTTTCACTTTGATTGATATATATATATATATATATATATATATATATATATATGATGAATTATTTTTAGGCAATCTACGAAAGCAGCGGTATGATCTATAAAGTTGGAAGCACAAAGGATTTAACGTATTGCGCATGCGGCACCAGCACGGATTGGAGCTACACAATAGCGAATATTCCGTTCTCGTATATGATAGAATTAAGAAGCAGAAAACACAGGTTCAGATTACCTAAGGACCAAATAATTGAAACAGGAAAAGAAATTTGGAACGCTGTCCAAAAGCTTATGGAATTTGTTGATAAACAAAAATTAGCAAAGAACTTGTAGTTATATTAAAAAATCATATTTTAAGAGGGCAATCTTTAATAAAAAGAAAAAAGACATACCTATTTTTCCAAATTATCACAATTGCTCTGGTCGGTAATATTTTTGCTCAGTTGATGTTTTTGTTCTAGTGATTATGAGTACTTAAATTTTATTTTTATTCTGTTTTATGTATACATATAAATGACCTTCAGGACCACAATGTTGAATTTGCAAAATGTTGAATTCCTAAAATGTTGAATTCGCAAAAAGTTGAAGTTGCGAAATGTTGAATCCTAACCAATGAATTGCTGGGTGTATGGTATTATTGTTCCGTGTTGTATAGTACTATCTAGGACATATCGAAATAGTGCAAGACAAAAGGAAATCTTTCATAGATATTGTTGCCTCCCTTAACTGGCTACCTTTCGGTGACCTCTTTGGGGAAAACGAAGGTTTTGTGAGGTTTTGTGCGATACAGGATCAGGTTATTAAGACGAACAACTATCGGAAATACATCCTAAGGGATGGCAATCTATCGAGCTTGTCGCCATCCCGGGGAGTCGATTCGGCATGTTATCTCCGGTTGTTCCATGCTTTCTAACTCTGGAGTATTTTGCATAGACACAACATAGTAGCCAGAATCCTACACCAGGAGCTCACTCTGAAATACGGTCTCGTGGATCGGAAACTGTCGTACTACAAGTGCCGTACCCAGAGGCCGTGCTCTACAATGACCGCGAGAGGCTCTATTGGGACTGGCCCATCATCACGGACAGGTCGATTCTCGCGAACAAACCTGATATCGTGTTGATGGACTGGGCACAGTCGCGGGTATTTTTGGTCGACATTACCATCCCATATGTCGAGAACCTAGTGAAAGCCAAAACAAATAAGAAGACAAAATATCTGGACCTGGCTCACGAGGTGTTCGACATGTGGGGTGGTGTGTTGACTGAAATTATCCCGATAGTCGTCTGCGAATGGGTTGATCCCAGTCAGCCTCTGAACATCTGAGGCAACTGGGACTCCGGGATGGAACGCTTCAAGCTCAAATGCAGACGGCGGTGCTCGTCGATACCACCCACATCGTCCGCCGGTTTCTCTTCCTCTCACCCTTACCCTCGGCCGTTTGGTCTCCCCTGCCGAGGGCTTTCGTCTAGTTGTATCCTTATATTATAGACAATATTTATGTCTATATGTTTATTTTTATTTATAACCCCTACCAGACGAGAAAACAAATAAATATCCCCACAATAATAATTTATATAAGAATATCTATAAAAATCACAGATAAAAATTAATTTCAATTTATTTTTGAATCAATTTAGATTATATTTATGTATATAGTTGTTCGCATTGTTGGGATACAACTTTTTTGCATTCAACGTTTTGGGATTCAACATATTGCAAGTTCAACTTTTAGCGGACTCAACATTTTAGGAATTCAACATTATGGGACCAGTAAATTCACCTTTTTACGACTTCAACATTTTGGGATTCAACATTTTGCGAATTCAACATTTTAGGAATTCAACATTTTGCAAATTCAACATTGTGGTCCTGAAGGATAAATGACATTGTACATATTTTATGGATAGAGGATCATTAAATCAGTCAATTGTAGATAAATTAAAACTAATTTTAAATTTTGCCATACGTTTTATTTAATCGTACATTGTTTAACACGATACTTTTTTTATTGTTACACAATTTAAACATTTCTTTTTGTCAACGTGTTCCGCTAAAGCTTTTACACCATTCCAAACCTCCGTACAACAGTCCAGTATCTGCTCTTTCGGCAACAAGAATTTATACTCTTTGCTTCTCAGCTCTACTAGATATGAGAAAGGTATGCGGGCAATGCCATAGCTCCAATCAATACTTGTCCCAGAGGCTGGGTACATCACGTCCTTGAAATTGCCAACTTTGTACATACGACCAGACGTATCGAATATAGCCTGTGAAAATAAATATTATACCGAAATTCTTTCTCGTACAATGACAGTTACGATTTCTTGTAGAAGTTTTTTATGACTACAAACTATAATAAGGTTTTAGATATTTCGTATTTATAAGTGCCCTTTATTATTGATGGAGTTCTTGTTATTACTTGTACTTGTTGTGATACAATTTCGTTCAATCAAACGGTTAAAACCTAAATATATTTTTTACCTGAAATCATTTAGTCTTTCTTTTTATTTATGTTAAATGTATCAATGTTAAAATCTATATTAATCACTAATAACAAACAGCAATTTGCATTATACAAGAAATGAGTATTTGTTGGTGGCAATAACCGCTAGCAATGAGTATATTTTATTATATTTATGGTGCTGTTTATAAGATTTACTTAGCAGTTAACGACTTATACGTTAGCTATCACTTTTTGACGCATAAAATAATTTTCCAATACGTCGAAAGGACTTTTAAATTTACCTTGGCCATAACTGTTGCACCTTCAAGTAGATTCACATAATCTGGACAAGGGTCAGACGTGAAACACCAGGGAAACGTTATCGTCTCACTGTACGCGTGAAATGTCAAAAAAATTTTGAACGGTACACTGGAATACAAAATTAGATCCTGCAATATTAAAACACGTAAATTTACGGTCTCACTTCCGCCTTCTCATAAAAGTTAGAAATGAGAGAAACCTTTATCGCCGTTGTCTCAGGCTCCGAGAACGGATCTGATCCTCTAAAATTGTTATTGTTTGGATCTCCAGATGAGAATTCTGTACCAGTCATTCCCCATTTCAGACTGAAAATGAAATTGATCACAAGTTACACATCTAAGAATTACGCCCGGTTTCTGAAATACTGATTGGTCATCATAGAAGATCTAATCAGCTGTCAAATGGTTTTTCAAATGTCATTTAAGGTGCTGATTAGTTAATTTCTATGATGATCAGTGCTTCAGAAACCGGGCGTTAGATACGTACACTGGAAATGCAAACATTACCCAAAATTTCTATTCAGATCCACGCCAACTGGTGAATTACCAATGCGAGCTCTATTTTTTCTCCACAGCCGATCGTTCGTGTGCGTATAGGCATAGCCGTCGGGATTCACGACGGGCACCAAATACCTTAAAAACGAGTGGACATGAAAACAGCGACGCGAGCACGACACAGCCTAATAGAACACGCCATGTTTACCAGTCTTTATTAGTTATGTTAGTTGGCATAGTGTCAAAGTTACTAGCGATCCGTTCGGCAATATACGTGACAACACATGCACTGATCCATTCCCGAGCGTGTGTAGTACCATCTAACCATACGCCAGTGTTGTTTGCGTTGCTATTGGAGATTTTTAACATCTGCAAAGGGAATTTTAAAAACATTACATTTCAATCCTTCTTTTATGAGGAACGGTAAGAGATGAGTGAACGTTTAAACAGATTAATTAGAGAATGTTTAAACGCCGCAAACCTTTCTCACCGGACAAAAAAGTAAAGTGTACATACTAATGTCTAGCACCAGTCTTCTATTAACTAAGCCAACTTATTACAACAACAGAAGCTGCTACGTAACTCTAAAATAAAATCTTGAACAAAATTATTATAAAAATAAGTCGATAAAGATAACTGTATTGTCGATTAACGGCAAAATTTTTATTACACTAGATTAACATTTAAACTATGAGTTTCACACCTTTATTTCCCTCCCTTCTACCGTAGTACCAATCACACTTAAAGTACACGTTGATGGATATTTTTCCTCTAATTCTTCTAGATAGTCATAAATACCATGCAATGAATAATATTCTGCCCAATCCATACCACGTTCTGGAATAAACAACAATTCTTAACGTTAAAACAGATATTGTTGACATTTAAAAAGTTCTGTCTACGTTTTTTTTTATCATTTCGGTAGTATTTACACATAAGAATTTTTTTGGTACATAGATTTCATTAGTACAAATTTCGTTGAACCACGCAACAGTCTTCGCTGTTACACGAGTTGGCAGATCCATAAGTACCACGACCTCACAGAAGATCGGCGTGAAGTGGAAATGTTACACTTCGTCGTAACCGGGCCCCGTTTTATTAACGGGTAGCAACGCATCTGCAACCCTACGGGTGTTGCAAATGTATATGGCCGGTGGTTATCACTAAACATCAGGTGAATCGCCAGCTCGCTTGCCACCCTCTCACATATAAAAACCAACTGCCACTAAATCTTAAAATATAAATTTTTGAAACCACATTTTTGAAATTGTTTTGTTGGCTTATGGAAAAAAACTTCATTCACGTCAATATAAAGATACGGGTTTCTGATTAAAATATATTTTTAATATAGGTACCTATATATTTATTATTGACTAGCTGTCTATATTTATTATTGACTTCGTCCGCGTGGAATTTTAAGTAAAAAATAATCTAAAATAAAAGGAGCCTAAGTTACTCCTTATTACATCAGCTATCTGCCAGTGAAAGTCCCGTCCTAATCGGTCCAGCCGTTTCAGAGATTAGCCGGAACGAACAGACAGACAGACAGACAAAAATTGTAAAAAATGTATTTTGGTATATGTACTGTATACATCCATATGCATTTAGTAAAAAGCGGTTGCTTTAATATTACAAACAGACACTCCAATTTTATTGATCTGTATACATTGGGAAGAGTAAAATATCTCGACATTAAATTCAAAGTTTAGTTTTATTAAATTAGATATAAATTTGATTAATTTAATTATAACATATTGATGATTCATCTCAACATATTTTGTAAATCTCACAATAAAGTGAAAGCAAGTAAACAGAGTACGTACTTTTAGGCGATTTGGAACGGGGACTTAGCGTGTGGATGGGGCTTGAGACGCGATGCTTTCCTTTAAAAATCACATTCGTGTCTGTTACCTCGAAGTATATATTCCGATTGTGCAAAAGCTTTTCCAGTTGCATCACACGGGTCCCCTCCACCGCTATACTAAGTTCGTAGGCGCTTTCTTTGCAGATATTTATAGCTGCAATGATGCAGAAGCATCAATAAAAAGTAGATTTCATTAAATTTCCAAATTAAGATTTAACTAGTGACCGGCCCCGGCTTCGATTACCCCCCGGCACGAGTGCAATGTACTATAAATATAAACCTTTATCTTAAATCACTCTATCTAGTAAAAGAACCGCATCAAGATCCGTTGCGAAGTTTTAAAGATCGAACCATACATAGGGACAGACAGACAGCGGGACGACTTTGTTTTATACTATGTAGTGATGAAGCCGCTGCGGCTGGTGACAAGAGGGCTGGTTCTTCACTTACTGAAAGGTTATGTAGAACTATTCAGCGAGAAAACTCAGCTAGCTTTCTTGGCACCATGCCGCGTTGACTAGGTTTGTTCCATAACATCCATAATTTACATAAAATAAACATAGGTACATAAAATAATGGCAAATGTAAATAATATTTATAAAAAATATTTATTATGTTGGCAGAACTGTGTATTGAGTTTTTGAAGTCAAATAAATAAAATGGTGGATTTCTTAGTAAAAATAACAAGTTTATATTTTTTTCTCGAAAACTATAAGCGACCGCTAAATTCTGCTTGTTGATAAATTCATTAGTGATTTTTCTCTATCGTTTAAAATTTATTTTAATTGAATTACGCCACATTTACATTTACTAAAATGATAAATATTTTAATCTGTGAAATACAATTTTTTAGAACTCCAGAAATAATGGGATAATAAAGGTCTTAAAACTAAAACTATGCCACTTACTCCCTTTCAAATCTAGATTTTTCAAGAAACTTCTTTGTCCTTCTTTTATACATTTTACTGACCATATTTGATATCTGTATCCTTTTAGTGGCACTTTGATAATTTATTGAAAATTACTACAGCAACAATTTATCGTTCCAAATTATTTTATTATACCTACAGACATGGAAAATTTACCGAATGACATTTTTAAAACATAACGCATGACGTTTGTCATAAAAAAGTACCAACATACAAGAAACTTGACATATTATTTTTCGTGAACTAATATACGAGAAACACCCAAAGTTAGATAATGTAAATATATAAGATAAATATATAAGATCGTGTTTCTTTCTTGAAGCCGTGGTGGCTGAACTTATTACATTAACGTTTGAATATTTTTTTTATGAAAAAGGAGGCAAACGAGCAAACGGGTCACCTGATGTTAAGTCATCACCACCGCCCATATACACTTGCCGGCAACACCGCTGGCAACAACTGGTTCCACCAAATAGCTAATCTGGACTTTTGAAACTGTATAAAAAATTATCAATAGGATTAAAATTAAGCGCGATTGTACCTTAATAATTAATAATTGAAAATATATTAAAATAACTCGTCCGCTCCATTAAAATATAACTATCGACGTCATTAGCTAAGTGCATTTACTGTTACATGTTCTGACCTACACAAAAAGCGGCTTTAAGATTTTTAATCAGTGCAGTAGGAAATTGTTATGCATACAATGCGCGAGTAATCAAGAAGAGCGGCTCAAAGAACTAAGGCGCTAAGCTCGCGCAACTCCTCTCGATAATTAGATGTAATCAGATATTTTCAGTAAACGGGCCCCCACCCTTGCTCGACTGTGCACTCCCTGTTAATGAAATAGAATGAGAATCCCATACTGCTGACCTCGTTCTCGCTCGCACGTAAATAACTCACCGATAGCTCGAATAACTTCGTTCGAGTTACCTATGTAGTTTTCATATTACCAGACAGTCAATAAAAGGTACTTGTCTGACAATATTAAAAACGTTAGATTAGATTATATACAGACAATGGAACAATTAATTAACGCTTATTGTTAATGTCATCAAAAACTTCTTAACTAGTTAAACTTATAAATTAAACTTACATTTTCAAAATACCGTAAAAATGTAAATGTTGATATTTAAACAATCCATTTAGCCGCTTAGTTGTGCTAGAGCCACGTAATAGTTTTCGCTGTTGCACGAATGACCTGGTCCGTCCGGGGAAGTACCATGACCTCACAGAAAACCAGTGTTAAATGGAAGCGTTATTAATTTACCGGGGACCTCTTTATTAGCATGTGGCAACGCAACTACAACCCTAGGGGTGGTGCATATTTCCTTGGAGGCCGTTATCACTTAATATCCGCTGAACCGCCAGAACCATTTTATTGCATTAAAAATCACAAGCAATTTAAGCCCTGTACATTCATCTACGTAGTGCAAAGAAATGAACAAGTATTAATTGTAAATAGTAAAAAAAAAACAAAAACAATTGCAACCGATTATTTTTTATGATAAATATACATTCGGTGAGGAGTATAAATAAATCGAAAAGTTATGACGAGCGATGACAATGGTAACGAAGGTTACTCGGGTAACCCGCTAACCAGACAGTGGACCCCAAACGTCGCCGCCCCACCCACCGAAATGTCGTCTCGGCGACGTCTTACGGCGTTTATCTTTTTAATTGTGCCCCCCTCGGTGACGGTAGCTTGTTGCTCGCTACATAGATTTATAGTGATCATCCTTACGCTCACGATCGTTACTGCACAAGCATCCTTTATGTTGGAACGTCTTAATACGAACAGGCGTTAAAATCAAAATGAAAACGAACTAGCAAAGTTATTTGTATGTAATGAGATGGCAGTTCTATCCCCATATATCTTATAACTGCTCGTTAGCAAAAGAGCAGTTTGAGCGCATGCGCTCAAACATCATGATGTTAAGTGATTATAGCCGCCCATAGGCTTCTATAGCCGCTGAAAACATTAAAAAAACTGTTAACAATATTACAACAGTAGGCCCCGATTACCTTGTCCATCGGGCGAAACCTGAAAGCATAATTATACTTCCAAATCACGCAGGTCTTCTGTTCTGACCTGTCCACATGTGGGACTATATGACCTTTCTGTTTGCTGAAATTGCTGCTTGACCCTACCACAAAAAGTACTATTATGAACAACACTCAATCCTTGAGCAACTACTTAAAGATCTTAAAACTTCTACTTTCAATTTATAGTTCATAAGTATGTATAAAGCAATATATTAGAAGTAGCATATTATACAAAAAGAAAATATAACTATGAAATGAGTAGTTTATTATAAGATTCCATCGATCGGCGATATCGTGATTTCGTATTCCGACATATATATTTCACGTTACAACATAAATGCGTCGGTTTTAATTACAATAGATTGCATCCAAACCGCTTAGTACTGAAGAAATAGTAGCACCAATAGGTTTTGTCGAAGAATAAATTGTAGGGCTCGGTAATTAGTCGGTAAACGTGGTGGGACCGCGGGGCTCGGTTGGGTGGCGGTCGCCCCAGCTTTGTTTTTCATTAGACACTGCTTATGGACCGACGTGCACCTAACTGTCGCCCCAACTTATCTTACAACATAGACTTTCCGCTTACAAAGCTCTTCTTGTATAATATGTACGTTCTTTTTAAGCGTCTAGGTGTAAAATAGATGTTCAAGAGTATTTTAACTGTAACAGATAAAAAAGGTTTGGTATACTACTTACATATTCTATTAAATGTAAATAAGATAAAAGAGAGAATCGCAGAGGTGATTGAACCCATGAATGATTGCAAAAATTAACAAACTTATTTTACCCAATCATCCTTTATATAATAATCCTTTGACTTAAGTCAAATTAAACCTTCATGCAACTAGCCCAAAAAATTAACCTTAGGTATAAACCTTATTAAAATAGTTCAATTTACATTTATTTTTCTTTTTCAATTTGCTTTTTAATGTTATTATAATAAAATGCAACTATTACATAAAATACTTAACCCATAGTAATCCGAAAATTCTAATTATATGCTGTATTTCCAGTCTGTCAATACAATAGCAGTGTCGGCTCTTTAATATCAACATGTTGTTGACATATTAAATTTTAAATAATACTAAAATAACCTTACACCACTTTAATTATGGTTTCTAAAATGCTAATGAGATGTTTCAGGCTTACAATGCTATGAAATTAATATCTGAGGAATATTATACTATTTATAACTATGTTATTAACAGTATTAATCACACAAATCTTAAGAATGAAGTAATCACACTATCTAATCTAAATTGATACAAAACAAAAATTTTGTTCAATGAATACAGGAAATTTTTAAGAAATTAAAACTCGTTGGTCATGGTTAAGGAACAATAATCTAGCAATGGAGTATTACATAGTAGAAGACAATCAGGTTGTTAAGAAATACAAGAAAGAATGCGGCAAACTAATTTTCTTGGAGGTAATAAACGACAAGTTGGAATCGATTCGACACCTAGACAAAAATACACCGTTTTATAATTTGATTAAACGTAACAAATATTTGGACCTTTACTACGATAAGCCGTTAATTGAAGACGAATTACCAGAAAATACCTTTTATTCCGTGAAAATTCCTCTAAACACTCCACGTAAGTGAAAAATATGTAAAGTTTATCTTATTTTTATTTTATTAAAGAATTTTCAATCAATTTAATTAATTTATTTCAATTTTTAATTGTTTTTTCCTTAAAGATGAAAGAGATAATCATGAAATGAATTGGAACGATTATCACCACATAGACGTCATTGAAAGATGGATGGATAGTTTAGAGGTTAAGTTTCCATCCATTTGTACTGTTTTTGATATCGGCACGACCTTGGAAGGAAGGACTTTGAAAGTAAAAATATTTGTTAAGAGTTTTTTTCGTTAAACACTAAGTTAAACGCTAAACGTAGTAAACAACAAATACCAACACACAAATAAACTAGGATTATTATCGTTGCCTCAGATTCAATCGGAATTCTTGGCGTTAACATATCGAGCGGCATTCAATTTGGCGGTCATTTGGAAGGAAAAGCCAAACTAATGTCTCATAACTCGGTGTCCTTAATAGAACAAGACAGTATTTCCTGCCGGCCCATCGCTTACAGCTCTATTAAGCACAGATTCGGCCGCACATGGAATACTGTTCTCACCTCTAGGATGGTGCACCGAAATATCAGCTCCTCCATTTGACCGCATCCAACGAAGAGCCGCTCGAATCGTTGACGAAAGGATTTTTGCATTTTCTATTGTATATATAACGGGAAGTCCTCTGAAGAATTGTTCGGGTTGATACCTGCAGCTAAATTTCGCTATCGTACAACTGGTCTAACCGCCAATTAACAACGACATCACCTTGATGATTGGCGGCCCATCACTGTGCGTTTTTGAAATTTTCTGCCCCGCACAGCTACAAAGCAACTGTAAGTAGAAACCAGTTGATGCCAGCAGTATTTCCGGACCGATACGACTGAGGGACCTCCAAGAAGAGAGCACAATCCTACCTTAAAGGCCACAACGCAATTTTCACTCCTCCGATGTTGCAAGTGACCAAGGGCGGCGGTGATCACTTACAGGTGACCCGCTTGCCTCCTTTTTCCTATAAAATGAGCTTCTTACGAAAAAAATGGCGTTAGCATCATTATGTAATACACTTTATTTTGGGGAAACAAATTCTATTATTGTAATTTCTTTTAATATTTCCTTTTCATAGGTTCTTAAAGTTTCCAACAGCTCGGCAGGGAATTCACCTGTTTGGTTAGACGCCGGTATTCACGCTAGAGAATGGATAGCGCCCGCCGTCAACACGTTCATCGCAGATTATATTGTGCGAAATTTCAAGAGTCTACCTGAATGTTTTACAAATAAAGACTGGTTAAACATTTTAATCCTTTTAGCAATCTCTTTCTATTTATCTTTTTATTTAGTCTATGGAACAGCTTCAGCATGAATGGGCCAGGTCAACCATGGAAGTATCAAGGTATCATAGACAACATGCGTAAAGCTGAACTATTAATAAACTTATATTTTTATAGTTCTAATCTCTTCACATACGATAAAACATTATTTGTAGAAAAGAACGAAAAGATAAAGCCACTAAGGCAATAAGCCGTTTAGCTTAGAAGCTAAAGCATCAGGCCGCGTATACCAGGGTCGTGGGTTCGATTCCCACAGCGGCGACAATCTTATCGTACTTTTCTATAAATTTTAATGAACTGTTAAAACTTTTGCATTCTTCGACTTTACCTTCTTGAAGGTGGGCATAGTCGTTAACGATATTGAATTTAAGCAGTGGTAATTAACATCGGCTGAATCGGCCGCATCTTTGCTGCCTTATTTAATACAAATATTATTTGTCTTAAAGTGATTTAACTGTGTCTATTGCTAGGTATTTTCTACCCGTCGCCAATCCTGACGGATATGACTATTCGCGCAAGGTCGAAAGAATGTGGAGAAAAAATCGGGCGTGGTACGGCGGCCAATGTCACGGTGTAGATCTCAACAGGAACTTCAGGTATAACCTCAAATATAACAAACGTAAAAAAATGTGAAGGAAATTAAAGTTTTACTCTGGAACATTAATGGAAATAAAATATGGTAAAGAAGTCATATTTTTGAATTATAATTATATTCCGGGTTAGTACCACGACCTCATAGAAGACTGACGTAAAGTAGAAGTGTTACATTACTGCATTTCGTCTGGTAAGTGAGGTAACCGGGGCCCACATTATTAAAAGGTGGCCACACATCTGCAACCAGTGTTGCAACATGTGTCACTTAACATCACTTAAAATCAGCCACTTTTCACATAAAAAAAAATATTTTTGAGACTGTATGATTTTTCTTTGCTTAGCTTTGCCTGGGGAGGAATAAATTCATCAAGTGACCCCACAAGTCAATTATTTCGGGGTCGTGGACCTTTTTCGGAATTTGAATCATCAGCTATGAGAGTAAAGTATCACATTTTTAAATAAATTACAAGATATTTATTGTAGTCATAGTGAATGAAGTTCGTAAATCTGAGTATTTATTTAAAAGTGGAGCTGAATAAAAATGCTTTGTCATGTAGTAACCAGTAAAACAAGTTAGTAACAGTGTTTATAAAAGAAACTGTAAGAAACGCTGGAAATACCGAGGATTAGAATGGCTCAAACCAGAAAATCGTTTCTTGGTAAATATATTAACTTATACTTGCATAAATACTACTTACTCTGCACTTGCACTCGCCCTGGCTGCTACTAATTATATACTTAAATACTTTTGTATAGTTATATACTTAAAAATAAAAGATATAGATAACAAGACCGCAGAGTTTCTTCCGTTTTATTTCTCGATAGGTCTAGTTTAGAGAACGGGTGGTAGATTTTTGACGTTCAATAAGAGCTTAAAATAAACTTACATTGAATAAAAATAAATTGACTTTGACTTTGACTATGAAAATAAATAGAAAAAGCTCATGATTTCATGAGATAAATATAATCTTAATCCTCCGAATATCATTAGATAAATATTCGGTGTATACAAATAAAATCTTCAAAAACACAATATCCTTCGTGACTTTTAGTACTAGACTCTTACACATAGTCGGTCAATGTCTTTATATTAACAGTTTGTTACTATACTTAGTATACTTATAAATATTCAAATTGCTTCTCTTCACATCGATTGAGGGACGAATAAAAATTGTAACAGACATCTCTCAGTAAATATGTAACTGGAACCATTATTTAGCTGTAATATGCCGTTGATACCAAAATCGTGTCATCGGCGATGGACGGAGAGATTAAACTGCAAATAGGATTTAGTCGTAAATCAATTGCAACGCATCGGTTTTAAATCTATGGGCCGCGTTGAAATAAACCCTGCAATGTATATTCATTAGTTACATGTTCGAACGTGTTAAATTGTAAAAAAAATCATTATGTTAGTGTTATACATAATTACTTTATATAATTTATTTTTAGCGTCAAGAATTTGTTCCACTGGGTGAACAAAACATTCGTCTGATTATTATAGCGAAACCAATTAAATCTACAATCCATTCCAATCTCATCTTCGTCACCGCATCTCTTGTGTCTCATCATTTATATTTAAGGTTTTAAACAATTTGAATCGAATTTCACTTACCAGCATCATTTGGTACAATAGCGTTTAATTCAATATACTCGAACAACCTGAGTTCGATCCCGGGTGTCGGCGCCAATGAATTTGCCTTGCCTTGGCCCAGCAGTCGGACATGTATAGGCAGTTACCTTACTATTTTTTTGCTTTTATTCAGGATGCTCTGCAAAATTCTGGAATCAAATTCAAAGTGTATGTAACACTTCACAGCTACGGGCAAGTGATTACGTTCCCCTTTGGGTACCGTAACGAGCTTTGTTCTGATTATATCCGTCTGCTCCAAGGTGCTACGGTTATGTCGAAGGTTATGTATATGCAATAATCGTAAACAGACAGCATAGTTCAATCATAAACATATCCAGGCTGTTATCATAAGCCTAGGTAGGTTTATGTCTATCGCCTGAGTATGTTACCTAGCTATTGTCAGTTATATGTATATACTTATATGTTTATTTATGTACATACATTTTGTATGTGTTTAAGTTTGTATAAGTCATTGTAATCAATAGAAAATTAATTTTTATGTTTTCTCATTACGATTCTTGATTCAGCACAACATATGTAGACTGTCAAAGACGTATTCAGGTATTAGGTTCAACTTAAGTATTCTATGAATAAGGGAACTGAAATAAAGATTGAATTAATTAATATACCCCAACTTCGCTTCAACTAATTCAGGTAACATAAGGCGCGATCAGACGCACATTTTGTTTTTTTTTCTAACTTCTAAAAATAAGTACTGATTACATTATAAAACATATGTGTTTCTTACTTTATAACCCAAACAATCATATCGAACATAATAACGGAGTTTCCTTGGCATTCGTCGGATTAAACACGAAAGACACAGCGTGTTTTAAAACTTTAAATAAGAAATCAATCAAATCATTGTATAAACATTACACATTTATACTTTTTATACAACCTCAGGCCATATTCGCGTCAACCGGGAACACTTACAAAGTTGGAATCTCAAAAGACGTCATGTATGGCGCTTCTGGAACTAGCACTGATTGGAGTTACGGAGCTGCGCATATACCTTATTGTTACTTGATTGAATTAAGGAGCAAAACACACAAATTCAATCTGCCCAGAGAAGAAATTCAAGAAACTTGCAATGAAATTCTGAATTGCATAAAAGCGCTGATGAAATTTGTAGACGATAATTCAGATTCTTAATCGATCACATTTAGTTCAATTCACCAATATTGTTAATTGGTGTACCAATTCTTTACCAAAGAGTTTTTAAATGACAATCTTTACAGCAAACATAGAAGCTTAAAAAGAAAAACTATTTGTCATGTAAATATCAAAAACATACGAGGTCTTTTTAAACAAAACTTTCTATAAAATATGATACAAATTTATAGTGCTTACTGATTCTTACTGACAATTACAACAAATTCATGTTACATATGTTTTTATTGTACGGTAAGAAATAATCCAAAGTGGCACCAACGTGCGGAAAAACGCAAGTATGGGAAGTGAAATTTTCAAGTGAAAAACAGAGGTGTTTCATAAAATCGCTGGACACTGTTGGGGGTATTGTATTACTTTTATTATATTAACATCCATTCATACAAAAAATATCTTTGTTTCGTAAATACGTTATCTATTTCAACAAGTCCTGCCACGTGTCAGTTTTATTTAAATCTCGTATTTGCACAATAACCTACTTCTGAAAAACTTTCAAAAACGATGATCAATTACTTACTGGTCAACATAAAGAGGGTTAATCTGAAATACGTACACATTGTATTGTATTAAATAAGTTAATCGCATTTTGGAGATCAAAGTGTAAAAACTTCTCATATCTTATAAATAAATATAAATATGTACTCGTACTATTCCTACTCCACATATCGTTCTCTTCCACTGCGTGCGGTCGTAGGCGGTATGAACTGCGCGTTGTATGCGCCCCTCCCCCCCCCCCCCCCCCCCCCCGCGTTCTTCACAGTGTCAGCCCATCTTGTCGGTGCCTTACCTTGAGCACGTCTGCCTTTCATCTGGCCTATAGTGATCAGCTTCTCGAGACTGTGCCTTGACGATCGCATAATGTGTCCAAAACGGAATCCCGTCCAAGGCAAACTGAAAAAAGCCGCTTGGTGATGTTAATCTCGAATACTTGTGTTGAAATTTGTAACATCCGTGTGTATTTTTCCCAAATCTTATCGCGCGTTTCAGCTATCAACATCTGGAAGGAAGAGCGCAGCTCGATGGACATTATGGTGGAGGGTCCAAAGTCTGCTCAGGTCGCCGACCTCCTCCGCGACCGCTGCATCCCATACGCGGTGGCGATAGGCGACGTTGGAAACCTTCTGGACCGAGAACAAGGATGCCCATCGAAACCGCAGAAAAGCAAACGCGGAGCGAACAAAAGTGGGTTCAAGCGTGCACAGTCCTTACTAATGTTATAAAGGCGAAAGTTTGTATGTATGGATGGAGGTTTGTTACTGTCTCACGCAAATACTACTGAATGGATTTTAATGAAACTGTACAATAATAAAGCTTATACATCAGAATGACACATAGGCTATAATAATTTATATACATATTTTTATGTATATCTGTCTTTCTGTCTGAATGCGTTCAGCCTATTCTTCGCAGACGTAGTCGCGGGCAGCAGCTAGTTCAAATTAAATTCACATTCATTTTCGGATTTGTGGATTACGTGGATAAGAATTCTTATAATCTAGCTTCAATGTTTTCGTGTAGATATTGACGATTGACGAATTACAAAAATCTTATTGTTTTAGCTAATTTATTTGACTAACTCTTGAATTCTTATCTGCGTTCTAATTGTTTGAATATGACTGAAAATTTAAATAATTACCCATCACGTTGATTTAAAATGTATATATAATTTATTGTTGTTGTGTTTCATAGAATTACTTAAAATTTTCTTTTAAAATTCATTGGATTTGGTAAACGTTAATCGGCTTAATTACATCTTTTATTGAATGTATCCTAAACGACAGCCTCTAAAATGTGTCTTCATGCAATTATAATTGATCATTATCATTAATGGATCAAGTATCATTATTTTCAATAGTATTACATAGATTACATTTAATTGAATGGAGATTCCTTAACTGATGTTAACGAAACTTATTAATTTTTATGTTAACTAATTACCGAATGTCTTTAACTAATTGATTGTATTTAGACTTTTTTCAATGTAACAGTTTACCGCCATGCATGGCTTATATATAAAACTACCAGCGAGGTAATTAATGATTCAGTTTTGGATTTTGTTTCAACCGTGTCCCAACAGCCGTGTGCATGGACTGGAACAGTTATCACCGTCTTAGTGTCATTTATGACTTCATGGATCATCTGGCCGAGCAGTGGCCGTCGTTGTGTTCAGTATGTACCATCGGATGCTCAGCCGAAGGTCGGGACATCAAGGCAAGTTAAAATATTTATAGGCAATAACAAACTGTGGTAGGACCACGCAGCAAATTCTGCTGTTGCATGGGCGGGCTCGTTCGAAGAATTACCGCTTTTCCGTTTAGTCTGGCAAGTGAGGCAGCCGGAGCCCAGTTTTTAATGGGTGGTAACGCATCTGCCATCCGTCAAGTATTGCTAGATGTCGATGGGTGGCAGTAATCACTTAACATCGCATCGGGTGGAATGCCTGCTCGCTTGCCAACTTTTCACATTAAAAACAAAACAAAAAAATTTCTTTCCGGTAGATGATCATGTTAGTGTATCCATTATTTAATGTATTAATGTATCTATTTTATTTAATGTATCTCTTGTAATAGAAATATTTCTTTGTTTTAAATCTGATGTAACTTAAAATTTATAAATTGTTTATTAAATGTAAATCTGGGAATTTCGTCACTCACATCGACTTATCATTAGATTATCTGTCTGTAAGATCCATGCCATGAAATAATATATTGGAATTTTCTACTATTAAATCTTAAAAACAAAGACACTTTTTGTTTATTATAAAACTATATGATGTGAACGAGCTCTGTATTATTCTTATTTATATGTTAATGTACAGTTGAATTGTATTTGTGTGTTTTGAATCTTCTATTTCCACGACAGATGTTGAAAATATCCAACGGTAACTGCAAGAATGTGGGCGTATGGTTGGACGGGGGGATACATCCCCGCGAGTGGATCAGCACGGCTGTGGTGGCTTACCTGGCGGACCAACTAGTCAGAACCTTCCACCAGCAACCCGAATTCATAACTAATAAGGATTGGTAATTCGAGACAACATATTCAGATGTTCACACTAGAGTTCTGTCAATCATAACAGATCATAATCGTGAAAACATGTTTTTTTGACCAGTGAATGTAACATCAAAGCAGTTACCACAACATTTTAATTGTTCTACGTTTAAAAAGTCATTTTGTCCTTTAACTGGTCTTATAATTAACGCGATAGACAAAGTTTTTTAAGTGACTAAACTGCGTGAATGCCCGAACAGAATAAAACAGTTATCTAATCGCAAACTTAGCAAAACTATGGATACTAGTTAAGTAATAAACATACTCTTATTTGTAAAATTCAAAACATATTATAGATATTCAAACTCCCAGACACTAAACAAAACACTATGATCATTAAAAAGTATTTCCCAGTAGTGGGGATCGAAAACATAGAAGTAAAGGACAGCTAAACTATACAATACGCCACTCGTATAATATTTATTTATATAAAACATTCAAGCCTGTTACCTACAGGCTATTTAAAGACATAAACAGACTTCCTTATGACTTGTAAATCTCCATTATTTTTTCACAGGTACATTTTGCCTGTGGTAAACCCGGACGGCTATGAATACACGCACACCCATGACCGTATGTGGCGGAAGAATAGAGCCCGTTACGGCGAGTGTTGCGGCGTGGACCTCAATCGGAATTTTAGGTAATTCAAACGATACGATATTGAAAAAAGTAACAACATAACACGCATTGATCAGCAGAACCACGTCTGCTTTTAATTTAGAAAAGAAAATAAGTTTCATCGTTTCGGAATACTGCGGGCCGTACTGTTCTTTTAAAATAAACTATTTAATATAACTAGCGGACCCAACAGGTAAAATTTCGTAAAATCCGTTCTTAGCTGAACTCTACTCGGCGAAAGGAATATTCCTACCAAATTTCAAGTCTCTACGCCTTATGGTTCCAGAGATATCGTGATGAGTCAATTATCGGTGGAAATCTCTTATGCATATATGATAAAATTTAATTTAAAAGGAGACTCAAAAATAAACCTTTTTAAATTTAAATAGTTCTTTTCAGTTAATCTTTGCAGATTTTTCGTCAGTTAGATAGCTGTTGATTACTGAATACGTATAATGTTAGAATATGTACACAAAATAAAATTAGACTTAATAATTTATTTAAAATACTGATTTGTTTTTTTTTTAGCTGCGGATGGGGTGAACGCGGTGAAGAGGGATCTTCCGAAGATCCAGGAAATATCTTTTACAGGGGACCCGCGCCATTTTCGGAACCGGAAACTTGTGCTATCCGGGTAAGTCGACAATTTCCCACTCGTTATAAATAAGAGATCAGTTTTAATTTTACATATAATAAAATAAGAACTGCAGTATTCCATAATATTTGGGAATGTGTTGAACATGAATTACTATTTAATTCATTTTTTTTTTGCTTATGTTTAGGGTAAAATATTGTAAAATATCAATACGATTTCTATCTCATCTCTCTATATGAACACAGAGTCCCTGACACGCCATATATAATGCAATCTTATAAAAGATCTGTTTATACAATTAAAAACGAACTTTAAAGACTTTAAGATACAAAGATATAGGTAAATATAGATTTTTGCGAAAACTTGTATGTACCAAAATTTACCTTCAATTTCAACTTTTTTATTATTTGGAATTCTCCCTTGCTTTGTGCTGTAAGACCTTGCTTTTAACCAAAATTATCCGATGTCCTAGAATCATGAAATTTGGTAAAACTTCGTAATATAGACTATAGACCTCAGTATCCAGTATAAATTTCAACTTGCTAGGTCCCAAGACCATTTTTTTAGCAATAAGTGCGTTTTTGACGTGATTCGGTATTCTGTCAAATGACGAATATTAAAAAATAAAATCGACTATTAAAAAATTAACTGAATAGTTCTTCTCTAGAAATGAAACTTTCTGGATTCTCTAGAGATGAAACTTTTGGCAAACTATATAACTATAAACAGCAAATAATTTGTATTCACATTTTAATTTACAGCAAGCTATCTGTGGATGCGGCAAAAATTTCAAGGTGTTCCTGTCATTTCATAGCTATGGTGAAGTGATCATATTCCCTTGGGGTTACACAGCAGATCCTTGTCCAGACTATGTTCAAATGCTGGAGGCGGGTACAGCAATGGCTAAGGTAATTATTACGATTATTAATTAAACATATTGTAGTATAACTAGGCAACTACACTTAAGTGAAAATTCGTCTTGTAGAAAAACGGTGAAAGTAAAGTTCATGTATGTATTTTTTAATTTTATCTCTTGGATGAGGTAACCGGCTGTATTACAGCTAGGCAACTCACCTGCAACCTAATATATGTAGATGTTCATGATCAGAGGTAGTCGTTGTCAACCGAGAAAAGCACCTGATTCCTTGCCATCATCTTAAAAGCTTGTTTTACAACAACTTTTATTCTATTTGATACAGGCTATTCAAGCAGCCAGTGGACATACGTATAAAGTTGGCAGCACGAAGGATCTTATGTATTACGCATCCGGTACGAGCACCGACTGGAGCTACGCAGTTGCCAACATACCTTACTCCTACATGGTCGAGCTACGGGGCAAAAGACATCGATTCCTGCTACCCAAGGAGGAGATAATATGCACAGCTCTCGAGGTGCTTTGCGGTGTCATGAAACTGATGGAGTACGTCGACAGACGCTGCAGAATCCCCTGCAAACTGAGCACCCAGAGTTGCCGGAAACCTGGCCCACCAAGGGCCCACACCTGCCGAATGCCCAGGTCTCATTCCTGCCATAGCTCAAGGTCCTGCCGTTCTTCGCGATCGCCTTCCTGCAAAAGTAGCCGATCCTATTCTTGTCGTAGCTCAAGGTCACAATCTGAACGCAGCTCCCACTCGCAATGCTGCGAGAGTTCGCACTCAAACTGCCAAAATCCTTCGGAGAATCCCTGCAACTATGCCTCTTGAATGCTGCGAGTATATTATTCGAAATCAATAGCCCACTGAATCATAAAACACTGCGTTTTATTAAGTTACCGGTAAACAGTAACGATCCTTTCATCAATTATCTTCTCGATGATCCTTCAAGCATTGCGATGTATTCACGCGCATATTGTACAGGCAATTTTAATATTATGGAAGCAATCCAAAAATGTGTCTCACAACCTGCCTTCACATTATGTTCAACACTGGCTTATTGATTCGAGACAATCGTTGCCAAGTTTTAAATTGTATTATCGTTTTGCGATACATAATTTTGAACTGGTGTTAAATAATAAAATTGCTTTATAAAAATTTCAGTAACTTTATTTACATACATTTGCATTATTTTATAATACAGTCAACAAATACTTAATTACAATATGAAGTTCACATTCATTTATCTAACGTAAAAACATCTATCGACAGAGATCACTATTGCACGGATTTCGCATTCATTCTCATTGTTCTACACGCAATACAACACATAGTCCAAATGTCCTGAACACACCGGACGGTAAAGCCGCACAAAAACACTATTATACCTTCCTGTAATCGTTACCAAGTTCCGATTAGTACGGACGCCACACGTCTATGGGCCGTCTTTCCGGGGTTATCAATGACTTGCTGCGAGTCCTGACACCCTGGTCTGCCCACTCCGGGGAGGCTGGTCTTTTTTTCGCAATACCCGATGCCGTGGATCCGCCCTCATCCTCCCGGTCGGGACTGGAATTGGAGTCGTCTCGTGGCGCCTGTGGTCTCAGCCACCAGTCGTATCCCCCATACAGCTGTGAGTAGATCCACGCCGGGGGGGTGGGGAGGAGAGGGGAGTTTAAGAATAACTGGGCCGCTAGCGCGCTGTGGAAGAGACTTGACGGGGCCGGCAAAGGTTGCAATGGTTTCCTCGTCCGAGCCACTGATGTGAACGCCCCGGGACGCTCGTCCGGAGGTGGACTGCTGGAGGCGGTAACCGATATATCGTCGTCTTGGGGCGAGCTAGGGCGTGAGTTTATGGGACTCGTTGTACTGTGCGCGTTCATCGTAGTCGGTGTCTCCGATGTAACATCTACACACGAAAGTCGATATTAATACTGTGTAAAATAAAACTCTAAACATCCGTAATAAATCGTGTTTCCATTGCTACTCCTCAAAAGCTTCAAATTAAAAAGATTTACCTGTTTCGTGGGGCGGTGGAGGAACGTGCGGATGCTGCGCATGGGCGGGCGGGAGCACGTGCGGTGTAAAGTGCGCATGCGATGGCAGAATGGGGGGAGGGTAATGGCGCGCAAGCGCCCCCCATTCACCACCTGGCAAGCCAGCCAATTGGTGTGCTATACCTGAAACAATGTGATCATTAAAGGAACACATAAACATTAAGGAATAAGAGAAAACATTTTTATATGTTGTCCAATTTTTCTTGCAATGCTTGTTAAGGCATATTCGTAATAATCTGCATTAAACGCTATATGCCATTGCACACTAGTGTGTGCAATGGCATATGTAGTAGTCTACATAGTTGTGTTTTTCGAAGTTTCTCAACCTTGTCCTATGCATACTAAATAGAACAATGGATACCTAACAATTCTGTATTCATCAATATGCATTAATTTAAATACGCACAATAAGTAAATAGAAATAAAGATTTTATTTGGCATTTTAACATTTTCGCTCTAATGGCCTTCTGTTAGGTGCCATAACAACTCAATCAACAAAACAATGGCGCCAAGAGTTATCGCGAAATGCTCCACTAACGCTAACGGGACTCTTAACGCACTCATCAGAATATTTAAATAACGAGTGAGACGATTTCCGCCTTCCCCCACAAAGCCGGTTACAATTCGCGTCTTATCGCTGCCGAGGCACTCCTCAACAGGCAGGCATCGAGGTTTAAAACTTGGTTTGGAATAAAATTCAAACATTTGAAATCAAACTAACAAACTGAAGAATAAGAAGTAGTAATTGACATTGATTTAACTTGTTCATACGTTACCATACCAAATACGAGAAATGAGGATATCCAGAGACAGGTTAAAGGAAAAAACAAAGAAACGCGTAAAGTGTCCATCGTATAATCTATACACAAAACGTCGAACACGCGTCCAATCGCAAAAGAACAGAAAAATAATTACACAAAAACATATTTGCGAAATAGGAAATGTGTTTTGGTGTCATAATTTCTGGTTGACATTTTTAAGCGCATAAATTAACGAAGTTTGCCGGCGCCGCGACCCCGTATATTCGGCTTAACCCTTTAGCACCCACCTTGGGTAATTCCCACCCCGAGCCAACCCAACCCTTTCAGCAATAGAATAAATTACAGGCCGTTTTATGTCGCAGATAGCGTCGCTGCGAAAATGTAAAACACATTATTTTGAATCCAACCGCTTAGCCTTTATAGGTGTAGTGCTCCCGAGTAGGTGCAATTAGACAAGAGATGTTTTTCGGGATTACTCGGCTTAATTCGAGCGGGCTTACCGTTTTTACGATAACGATTCGAGATATTGAATCTGCGCTCGTTTATATAGACTCCGCTTCTTCGAGCAGGTTTAGCCATAAAGATAAGATGCATTAGGGGATTGCTTTGGTTGCGCTTTTTGTTTATTGGCAGTTAACCAAAATATTTTTTCAATGAAGTTTACATGTACGTATTAAAAGAAGTGTGCAAAAAAGTACGTATAAAGTTTTTAATGATAACGCGAACGTACTACATGCCTTTAATAGACCTAATCTTTCTAATACACCTACGAATCTTGTATAAGTAATTACCAAATTATCGGATAATTTAAATCTTAGACAAGATATCTCAAAATTTTCTTCACTCATCATAACTGTCCAATCTACGACAACTTGATTTTTAGCTGTGTCATAAAATAAACTTAAAAAGTAAGTTGTAATATTACACGCGTATAAAGTTATTCATCTATGGCGTGAAAGTGGTGAGGCATTGTTTCATTTCGTATTCCCTGTTCAAAGTTGCAAAAGAAAGGGCCGCTCCAGACGATTTGCATTCGTTAAAACTGTTGGAACTCTTTGTTGTTGTGTGTACAGTGTGTAATCGTCATATACGCCGACCGCGAATTTACATACGATAACGTATTCATATGTCAATTCTATTGGTGTTTAGGGCCTAACATGTTCTAGGGTGAACGAATAATTGCAGGCTTGAACTGTTTTTAATCACTGTAGAAATGTTGTTAACTGTAATAATTTTGTTACTCACCAAAGATTAAATAAGTGCTAGATTTGTTGCTAACATTAGAATGGAATATTAATATTCAATAGACAGTTTAAATTAAGATTAGATTGTAAGATCGTTTAAATGTCTTCGTATTACGATCTTAATAAACTGAAACTCCCAGACACCCTGTGCCATGGTTATCCATGGCACAGGGTGTCTGGATATTTAACCAAATATTTAATTTTATTTTAGTCAAATTCTATCAAATCGCGTCAGTCACAAAGCCAAACAATAGACTAGTTACTAGTTTACTAGATACATAAAAAATTAGTTCTGGAACAATTCACGTGGTGACAAATTAAATATAGACTATAACCTTAAGGTGAATCACAAATGAAATGTTAAGATAATAAAGATAAAAGTATCAAAAACACTCGTCCGCGGTACAATAGTTGTGATCGGCCGCCTCCGAAGACGTGCCCGTACGCTACATTGCGCCGAGCGGACGGACATTTTTTGGGCGCGGGCTTTGAGAAATCGCGTTCGCCGCGAAGGGGTTGGAAGCGCGGAACATTTTAATGCCATTTGCTAGATTGCGTTCTTGCATTTTTCCCGCTCCGACTCCACCCGCCCGGTACAGCGATAATCCGCGAAGACGTCTGGGATTACCCGGATAAAAGTATTCGCGTTTTTAGTGGGATTCCGATGCCCGGGGATTAGGGAGGAATTTTTAAACGATTGTCTGAAGCCCTTCGTGGCGATTAGCGAAAGGGTTGCTGAAAGCACTTTCGAGTCATTATTTTACATCCCTCTCAACGTTGAGCACAGTTTTTAGGTTGCTTTGTTCTAGTTGTTTTTTTTTTCTCAACTCAATAGCCTAGTAAGTTTCGATTACGTTTTACTTATTCATAAGAAAATATACCGGTAAAGATGCATGTGATATCATTAAAAGTATCCGTATAAGTGCTGATTTATCATATAATACAAATTGCACTGCATAATAATATTATAAAATAAATAATAATCTAGGATAAATTTCAATTACTTCTTTTAAGTTGTATATCTTAGACAATTGGCAACTATTAAAAAAATATTTTGATTGTCTTATTTAAGTTTTAGAAAAGTTAAAATGGGAGAATTATTTGTTTAAGAAACAATGAATTTTCCCAACATTGTATACTTTTTATTACTATAAGACGTATCGGTTACTATTTATAAGTAAAGTCTTTCATACATTCCATCCCTAGAAATAAAGGCTGAGATTAAGCAGCTTTTTGCAGCAGTGAGTCTCGCTTTTAATTCAACACACTAGAGCAACCTGAGTTCAAACCCTGGCTTGAGGAAACCTGCATATTCATGGCAACCGTGGTTGACATAAGTCCACTTTGCATAAGTGGCCTTTGCCCAGCAGTGGGACATCTATAAGTTAAAAGTATTTTACTTTAATTTAGTATTTTATTATAATTTAACTCCCATTAATATTCTCTCAACCTTAATTTTTAATTTTTCCAAGGCTACACGGTTTCCAAGGTTTACGAAAAACAGGTAAAATAAAAAATCTACAAATTTTACTATCTTTCAAAAACGAGTGTGAACAGTTTTACTCTTGAATCTCTACCTCTACTTCTCTTACTTTAGTCAATTACATAAATTTAATGTAAAAAATCATATGCAAAAAGGGGTACTTATATTTATAACATTTAGAATTAACTTCAAATTGCTATTGCATCATTTATCACCATCATAACATCTCTATTTCTTTATTAAAGTATAGATTGAATGCGATCGTGCGATAATTATTTCACGACATACAAATTATTATAAGACGCATGTAAGGTTGTAAGGCAGCACTAGTGGAGCAAGGGAGATTGATGTTCTCCGTACATCATAAGGTTAATAAGAGGGCTCGCGAACTAACGACGGCGCTTTGTCAACGCGCCTTAACCCGCCCGACGCCATCTTGCGCGCCATGTTGGATTTCAATCTGCTTAGCGCTTAATGAATTTCCCTCTATTGATTTTGTTTAACCCCTTTTTGTTTTGCTTAATTAACCTTTCGATGTACAAAAGTGACAGAGACGTGGCAGCCGGTAAAGGTTACTTGAAACACAACCTCGTCGCTGTTTGAGATTATTTTGACACAAATGATTCTCGTGGATTTCACTTTTTGATTATTAAATAGTCTCATATTTTTATTCTTTTTTTGTCAATAATCGTGTCATAGTCGTTCCTATACGATATATACATATAAGTGTAAAAATAAAAACGATAAATCCGTTAAATTAGTTTCATGTATAAAATTACTATATACTAGATTTACTAAAATTAATAAAAACTCTTCTAAAACAATAGAGTACACAATGGGGCTATGTCTACCTAAAGAAACATTTAATCTTTTCATTTTATTTATGTTGCTTAAGAGAATTTCTCAAGGACATACTTGGACTTATGGATACATCAAGATTATACGCAACTAGACGCCATTTTGTTATAAACCTTATAGCAGACATGTCGCAATTCGTACTGGAAAATTGCTCGTAGCATTTAGAGTTAATAGCGCTCGCGTCATCATCGTATGAATTCATTTAAAAGCGTTTAAAGGCTCGGTTAAAGCGCGAATCACGCCATACAAAAGACTGTGTGAGGCGGGCGGGACATTTAAAATTTACAAATGCGTAATTATGCACCCGCATTGTCGCGCGTCGGAAGGGTTATAGCCCCCCACTCTTTCTTCGACCCCTAACCCCCACAATCCCCGGGCTTCCGGGCCTAATGCTATATTTAATTTTCTCTAAGGCTCCCTCATTAATAATACGAAGGCTGCGACTTTAAGTGGCGCTCACACGGCGACGCGAGCCAAGGATATGTAAAATAAATGACGCTAAAGTTAGTGTGATTTAACCTGAAACGGCGATATTTAAGAAACGCAGATCAACTAATGGATTTCTTAGCCGTAAGGCATGCTAAGTCACTAGATGAAGTAATGAACAATTTAGTTAATTGTATATAAATAAATTTTACCTTATATTAAAATTAGTGTTCTTTATGAAGAGGAATGAATCTGGAATTATCTTTAATCTTCAATTAAACTGCATGTTGAAGTAGAAAAATGTTCAAACATGGTGCTGATACTGACTTGAATGTATTTTATTTAATAATA